CCACTGGCTTTGTTCTGACGGCACCCGTACTGAACCTCCAATGGAACAAAGGACAGTGGTAGCTGCAGCTGAGTTTTCTTGAACCATAAATCAAGCGAGGACTGTTTCTTTTTTTTTTTCTTTAATGTGGCCCTGCATCATCTCACAGGATGTGTTTTTTTTTTTTTGGTAGTTCAAGACCTCGAGAGCTTTGCACTTCTGTATATCAAGGCGAAAGCAGCACACGGGTCACACCAAACAAGCATAAAAATAAATAAAGAGCCATGTAAGTAATAACTGTGCTAAGGGTGAAATGATGTTTGTTTCTTCAACTGTTGGAACTTTTATCTCAAGCTCTTGATCTTTATTCAAACTCGTAGAGTTATATGTAGGTCACATTAAAATTGCCTCTGAAAATTTTAATCTGCGTTCATCGTTTACTTCTACAACAAAAATTTACAATAATAAATGAGATATATATAGGGACAAGGTTAAAATTTTGTACAAAAAATGTAAAGTAGCACATATGCCTAAAATAACAATTATTGTTAAAGTATTTAAATTATGATTAAAGTATTAAAATATAAAAATATATTTTTAAACAAAAATAATCTCCATGAGCCAAACTTTATTTATTTATTTATTTATTTATGAGTGAGTGAGTGAATGAGTGAGTGAGTGATTTAGCGAGTGAGTGAAAATGCTGCCCTTTTATAATCCAACAATGATGCACCAGTTTTTGCTTTTCATATTTTTTAAATTATTTAAAAGTTATACTTGGTTACCAAGGAGACAGCAGTGTCAGTAAAGAACATCTTGAGATGAAATGTGAGGTGTGAAGACAACAAAGGAAAAGCAAAGTAAATATCACTTGTGAACAGATTTTTTTACTATGTGTCATTTGTAGTGAAGCTGTAATTTGGACAAATCATGCAAAAAGTGTGAAAAAAAGCTTTTTAGGACACATAGAACACTAGCTATGATATTCTTAGCGAGACAAAGGATTGGCAATTTAATAAAAAAAACAAAAAAGTAATTTCCACCACAAAATGAACGGTGACTTGGTGGGAGGGCAAAAAAGACAACATTTTTCCATGACACATTTATCCACTGTTACTAGACGCAATAAACAAACTAGTGAGAATGTGAAAAGTATGTTTTTTTTTTAGAGAGTCATTTCGACAGGGTCAAAAGCTGCCCATATTTGAAACACCCTTATTTTTAGTGAACAGTTCTGTCTAACAGATGGACTCTCTCAGAGCAAAGGTCTCACGCGCGGTCACACCGACTATAGAGCTCTGTATTCTTCACAGTATTCTTCACACTTCAAACCTCACAGCTGTCTTGATTACAGCTTTCAACAGCACCTCTTATTCAGTGATGTTGGGGACGTGTTTGATGACCTCTTCATCAGTTGGGTGATATTTGCCCCCTGACCTCTGCTGCGCTCACTGTAAACTCACAAAAATGTTACAAAACTGTCCTCACTTGATTTCCAAACTGATACATATTATGAATCTTTATAATCTTTAAATGTATGGCAGTACTCATAGGCGATGCATGAAGTCATGTGACCCTTTAGTTGGTCTGGAAAATTCAGTCATAATGTAGATCCTGTAATCTGTTAATTGAAATGAATTACAAAGAAATGAAACATTTCAATATAACTGCAAACACAGCTCTCAATCCTAATGATTAATAATGCATGTAGGCCTTTATTTATTTGTGCATGTGATTTAAAATTTAGCAAAAGAGTGTTAACATTAAATAACAAGCTCTATTAAAATACTGCTAATCATCCACATACAGTAAGTGATATTTGCTATATGTGAATGACTATTAGCATCATTTTCTTGACATTTCACTGACTTATAACTGTTTGCTGACGGAAAGTAAAATACCATGGATCTACACTAATGAATCCCTTTTTAAAGTTATTTTAACTTTTTTTTTTTTTTTTACTTCTCCCCCTCTCTTTCTCTGACTCACTGTTGCCATGGAAACGTTCTATTGTAGAAGTGATGCTAAAGGATTCATTAGGTCTGTAGAGAGTTTGTTATTCTTCCATTGAACAATTGAGACTCAATCAATGTAGCCTGATATAGCTTACTGTCTCTAATGGGAATGTCTCTTTCTGACGACATGGATGCATTCTCTCTGATACCGAAGTATATTGCTTGTGTCCCAAAATATATTTGTCATCTCTGCTGAAAAGACCAGTATAAACCAGCCTGGCTTGTTTTTTTGTTTTTGTTTTGTTTGGATAACCGTGGAAGTTAATACGCTAATTAATGAGAGCCCCAGTAATCCCAAAGTATATACTGATGACCATACTGGCCTTTTCAGCTGAGAAAATGAAGATTATAGCTTTCAGTTATCAAAGGTACAAACGTATCCTGGTGTTAAAGGGACAGTTCACTCAAAAATGAAAATTGTTATGCTTTACTCATTGCTCATGTCGTTCCAAACCTGTGGGGCTTTCTTTTGTGAAACACAAAAGAGGATATTTTGAGTGTCCAACATAGTATTGGAAACCATTGATTATGGACCACTTTTATGTTACTTTTATGATGCTTTTTTCATTTCAGAGCTTGACAGCACAGCAATGCTGGTATTCATTAAATTTTTACTTTTTGTGTTCCACAGAAGAAGAAAAAGTCATATGGGTTTGGAATAACATAAATAAATGATGACGGAATGTTCATTTTTGGACGAGATACGCAATTAAAGCAATAGTTCACCCAAAATGAAAATTTGCTGGAAAATCCAAGATTTAGATGAGTTTGTTTCCTCATCGGAACAGATTTGAAGAAATTTAACATTACGTCACTTGCTCACCAATGGATCTTCTGTAGTGAATGGGTGCCGTCAGAATGAAAGTTCAAACAGCTGATTAAAGCATCTCAATAATCCAGTCCATCAGTTAATGTCGTGTGAGGCAAAAAGCTATGTGTTTGTAAAAAACACATCCATCATTAAGGCGTATTAACTTAAAGCATTGCTTCTGGCCACAATACAAGTCTATAATCCATAATAACGCTTCCTCCAGTAAAAGTACATACACTGTTGTCCTCTCACATCAAAATCCACCCACATATTTGTTTGGAACTGTTTTGGGCTGTTTCACTTGTAAACAGTGCTTGATCTGTGCATATATCTCTCCTGATTAGACCAGATGACTTTTTCACTGGAGAAAGCTGTATAATGGATAGAGTACTTGTATTTTAGCCGGAAGCAATGGTTTGAAGTGAAAAACATCTTAATGATGGATTTATTATAAACGCGCAGCTTTTTGCTTCACAAGATGTTAATTGATAGACTGGAGTCATGAAGAGTATCGTGCTGTTTTATCAGCTCTTTAAGGATCAGCTGTTTTTCAGCGAATCACTACAGAGGATCCATTACTGAGCAAGTGATGTAATGCTAAATTTTTCCAAATCTATTCCAATGAAGAATCGAACTCATTTACATCTTTTTTCAGCAACATTTTCAGTAAAATGTCATTTTTGGGTGAACATGCCAAGACTGAAGTAGAAAAATTTATAAAATTCCTGATTTATTATCCCTACACACATTCCCACTTGTAACATCTTCAAATGCAGTTCCAGTATGGGATTGTGTCAGAGAAATAAAAATGTGTTGCTTGAGGACAGCCCCTTGCCACCCACACTAACAATGTTTTTGTGACTTATGTTGCAGTGTGACATTGCTATAATTTAAACAGTATGTTATGTTCTGTGGGCATGGACGAGGCAGTGCTTTGAATTTGTATGCTTTTTTTTTTTTAAGTTGTACTGGAGAAAGCAGAAAGGGAGTGGGGAAATGCTCTGGGCCCACCTGGGTCAAGGACAGAGCCATAAACATGTGTATGACCAAATGGCTCTTGCAGCCGCAGGCCTGAAGTCTTCCATAACTGCATTATACTCAGTGTAGCTTTTAAATACACAGCCTTTCACCTCAAAGCTTTGCTTCTCGCTGTTGTAACATCAAGTTTTCTGTTCTTCTGGCATTAAAAAACTTGAAGTAAAAGACATCGTGCCTTCTTTTACCTCTTACATCAATGAAGTAATTCCCAATTAGCAATGGAAGCATGGCTGTGTCTTATTGCTTTTGATCTGTTTCAACTCCATCTATGAAACATGCATTGAAAACAAGACTGCAACCCCCTAAAGATGCTTTATACATGGATTGCGACAAGTAAAAATAGAAGGAAGTTTCAAAAAGCAACTCATAGAGGGGAAACAATTACGCTCGCAGCGAGGCTTTTCGAATCAGGACACTGTATTTGTTTCTGACAAAACAGTTTTAATGAATTAATTGATTATGATAAGAAGAAGGAGAAATTAGCCATATTGTTGTGCTGAAAAGAGTGTAATTAATCCAAAACGAGTGATACACAGCTTAGCATACAATTGCGAGATAATTCATCGTTTGATATTCTGTTAGATATAACAGCACATAATTCCTTTACTAATTCTGGGTCTTAACTAACTAATTATTCCAAAAGCCTGGATCTGTTGCAGGCACTGTGGATCAATCTAGCATGTCCATGACACCCCCCTTCCCTCGCCACCCCCCTTCCTTCCTCTGTGGCTTTCCAATGGCTTACACATTTTCCTTTCTCTTTTTTTTATCCTTTCTTTTTTGTTTGTTTTCGGGAGGGGAGGGGTGGAGGTTAATTCAACGTCTTGTTAAAAAGCCAGTGTAAGTTGATTTTGCATGTGTTTCTATGTGTCATAGCTGTGCTTCTAAGCTCAATTAATGCTCCCAGCTCACCACTGATAAACCGTTCTGTGCACTGTTCTTTGCTTTCCTAGAAAGGCTAAAGCTAAAAGACAAGAGTGACAAGTTAAATAAAGCTGTCCATGTGTGATATACTTTTATTTTGTTTTAAAGCCATGTACTGCGAGCCACCTCTACGTTCCAGAATTGTGCTAAGCTCTTTTTTCCCCTTTTCTCTCTCTCTTTCTGAAGATTTTGTATCAAAGCCTAGTTTTCATGAACCTCTATTCTGTCCCTAGAATATGGAATGATCGGAGAACATACTGTAAAAAGTCAGCGGCCAAGATCAGTACATGACACAAAGGGCCTACAGGAGCGAGATGAATCTGCTAAATTTATGGCACAAACTGGTAATACAATAGTTATGCTTCTTTCCTTTCCTATGTAAACTAAACTTAATTTTCATCTTAAGTCACTTGCATGCTATCTTCTGTACTGCACCTTTAAGTGACAATGTTTATTTATCATATTTATTTTTTGTCCCTCTTCTACTTGGTTAATGCGTTAAGGAAAAACAACAGAATTGGCCATTTCTGCTAACTGACACCATGCTCAATTGGGTTTCTGGTTTCTATTTGTTTTTGACAGTTTTTATGACTTTTTTAAGCACTAAAAGCAATAAATATAACCCAGACTTGTTAAACTTATGATTAACTACAAGACAATTAAATGGTTAACACTTAACAGTAAACATGTGTGGTTATCCAGCTGTTTAGAGATGACATAACCCTGATATATTACCTTTAAAGTGCCAAAAAAACAAGGCCTGTAGAAACCTGAAGATGTTTCTCTTTCTTTTCCTTTGCTTTAATTTCCCTGTTTTTATTTTTTATTTTTTATTTGTTTCCTGCATGAACTCTATATGACCTGTAGCTATTATGGGGAGGGACGTTTAAGTTTTGCACCTTTTTGTATATTTGTGACATTTGTGTAGCACTTAACATTGTTTAAGTTGCAAATCATTGTGCATACTAAACCTTAACAACCTTGTTTCCATTCCAATCGGTCTTTTATGTGTTTATTTATTTCCATTTATAAATGAAAATCTGAACAGAATGTCATTCATCCTGCATTTAGTTTCTCATTTTCAGATTGTCTGAGTTGTACCACTTCATCCAGAGTTGATCCACCTTTCAATCTAATCTAATCGCTGAGAATGGCAGAGGAAATTGTCCATATGTACCCAAGGTCATTGCCAGTAGAATCTCTGGAAGTTAGTACAAACAAACCAATCTTGAGTCAACAAGCAACCAGAAAGTTGCGTATATTTTGAGCATATAAGCCTAAATTATTTCATTCTCATTAGACTTTAGCTGAACTGTTTTAATGGGACTTGACTTAAAAATAATAAAAAATAGAAACATAAATCAAATTTAATGAAACTAATTATTTGTTGATTCATATTAAAACGTTAAAGGTTTAAGTTCAACTTTTTCCTTTGCATACTATCCCTTTATTCAGCATCACATGGCAATTGGATTTTTATATTGTGGATATTGATAACATGTGCTCTTAGGGAGACAGTTTTCTTGCTTATTAAATGTTTGGCAGTGTCAAATTCTCAGAAAATCAAATGTCTTATTAGTGCTTGGTCTGGCCATGCAATTGCTCATTGGGAATTACAGGCGATCCAGAGTGCAGTATTTAGTGAACAGATATAAAACACAAAGCTAAGCTCTATGTATTTGCAAGAAAGCAGCCTATGCTTTCAAATCAACAATTATAACAACTTTATGTAGCAATCAATGCCAGCAAAGAATGCCAGTGATTGAATTGACATTACAGTTGGTAAATCATAATGTTTCCAGCTCAGAACCATAATCAGATGGAACTTCTAACAGCTTTGATTGTTTGGATTCAACATAGAAAGTTCTTCCATCATGTGATTCTGAAATGTGACCAGCGCTACCGAAAATTGCTGTGATCTGCTGAATATGTTGGGGGAAACGCAAACCATCCCCTTTTTTCTTGACAATCTCCAATTCTAATTGATTTTGCTTCAAAGAGACAAAAAGCTTTAGCATAAATCCAGGAGATCAGAGATCTAAAAGAGTGAAGCACAGTCTAGACTGAGGGCCAGAGGTCTGTTCTTCTGTGCAACTGTAGTTAGTAGAAAACTAACTCTCATCAAAGATCATTCTCTAACTTTTAGAAGCCATGTTGCATGCATTCTGCATAGTATATCATATTTTCTATATTTCATCTATTAGTTTTGTTTGCCTTTTTCCTTTCAGTTTATTTCATCTAATTGGTTGCATGCATGATTTTAAAATATAAATATGAAGTTAAACCTTAGTATTTTAGGATGCTAATATAATAAAAGCTCCCATTATGATATCTATTTTGTGGCCACACAGTAAAATGGATATGATCCTGCTTTGAATATGCATAAATGTATTAATCATTCATAAATCAGGATTTTGAATGTTTTTATTGTGATCTGTCAATGCAATCTTTCGATATATTTGTAGATTGTATTATGTTTAATTCCAGTATCATATATGGGCCATGCCAGGACAAGTTTGCTCATTTGTGCTCCTGGAAATCTTCCTTCCTGCAGAGTTTAGCTGTCTGAAACCAAAGCTAGATGTCTTGCCTCCCAGTCAGTCAGCGATTTAACAGACAGCATGTCCATATGAAGGTACTTCCTAAGGAAACTGGTTTGAAACCGCACCATGATGTCTAATGATCTAGAACAAATTCAAGTGAGCTTAGAGATAATCTAATGAATATTTAATGCTTATTTCTCAGCTGAAATGGAATCGTAAGTTATTACGTTTTAAACTATATCACCATCCCCCGGTTTCACAGACAAGGCTTAAGCCTAGTCCTAGACTAAAATGTAAATCTGAGCTGTTTCAACTGAAAGAAACTTGCACTGACTGATCTTAAAGCATGTCAGTGCCTTTGTTTTGTCTTAAGATGCACACCAGTAATGCTTTTTTCTAAGGCATGTTTATAAAAAATTACTTAAATGTCCTAATTGAACTATGGCCTAATCCTGGCTTAGGCTAAGCCCTGTCTATGAAACCGGGCCCATAAGTTATAAATTATATTTATAAACTAAACTTTCAATTGCTCTGTCAGACATCATTTTTATTCCTTTAAGCAAACGCACACAGAGGATCATGAGAAATAATTAGGGACAGTTCACCCAAAAATGAAAATTCTGTCAGCAGTTATTACCCTCATATCATGTCAAACCTGAAGGACTTTCTTCTGTGAAACCTAAAAGAAGATATTTTGAAAAATGCCTGTTATTTATTTATTTTTTTGTCCATACAGTGAAAGTCAGTAATATCAAGTGTTGTTCTGAAATGCATTTTATGGACAAATCGACTGAAGCATTCCTTAAAATATAAGAAAGTCATACAGATTTGAAATGACCTGACGGTGGATAAATGAAGACTCATTTTTGAGTGAACTATTCAGACTATTTCTGATTAAATGAAAATGTAGTAGACATTATGTTAGCTTTTTTCCAGTTTTGGAAGCAGCCTAGCTGTAACTCTAACCAAACTCGTCTAAACCAAGCTTATCAAGGATCTAAATTGATGCGTGTGTTTGAGCTAAACTTTGCAGAAAAGTAAATCTCTATTTACCATTAGCAGGACCGGGTGTTTCTGCTCCGGGACAGCTGAGCCCTGAAAGTTATTCAGGCAGGATCATATCCAATATACTGTATAAGATGCTCCTTTTGAGCTTGTTCCAATTGCTCTTGGAGCCTTTAAGATTTACTGTGGCTTTTTAGTGTGTAACTTAGTGAGGCCCCTCCTGCTCCTACTGGCTCCACCCCCTCTGGGTGTCACATGACCATGTTACTGCTTTTAACTGGTGTCACCCTTCTCCTACAGGTGACCCTGGTGCTGAGGAGTGGTCCCAGTGGAGCTCTTGCTCAGTTACATGCGGTCAAGGGTCGCAGGTGCGAACAAGAACATGTGTCTCACCATACGGATCACACTGCAGCGGCCCTTTAAGAGAATCCAGGGTGTGCAATAACACTGCCCCCTGCCCAGGTAGTGTTAGTCACAGACACTGGACTGTCCTTCAGAATCTGTATCTTTCATCATTCAGGGCAAGAAAATTGCTGTCATTATTTGTTTATTTGCTTTCATTGCTTCATATTACATTTTTTATGTTAAAGGTATTATTATTATTTTTATAATTATTAGTGATATTTGTGTCTGCTCTGATTTTTCCAGTTGTGTATTTGGTCATTCATCTTGTCATATGTTGGTTTTATGTTGCTCCTTCTTTCTTGTGTCACTCTTTTCATGTTCCTCTTCTCAATGTATGACTTAGCTGAGCGTTTTATTCAATTCCAACACAAGCCTTAATCAAACACAAAGCGAAACTTGTCAGAAGAGTGTTTGTTGGTGCATGCAGAAGAAAAATGTAGAAGAAAGGGAAAAAAGACTAATCTATCCCCCTGTGGGCAGAAAAGCGACCTGAATTACCCTCTTGTTTTCAAATCTTTAATTACTGGAGGTATCGACCTTTAATTCATCATTTTCGGAGGTGCCATCTTAATGGAGTTGGGCTCAACAATACTTCAGCACCATTGAACTTGCTGTCACCAGCTAACCGAATTTTTATTTCAAGTAAAAGGGCGTGAAGAGAGGCTTGTTGTTTTTTCCCTTCATCACAAGCTCTGAAAATGCAGTTCAGCCCTTTTAGGACTTTTGGTATCGGTAAATTAATGCTGTTTACATGTTACCTCAGCAGCATTGAACTTATGTCACAAGCTAACTGGATTTTTATTTTAAGTAAAAGGGCATGAAAAGAGACTTGTTTTGTTTACACCATTAGCTCTAAAATGGCAATTCAGCTCTTTTAAGATTTTTTATGTGGCTGAATCAATGTGGTTTACACAGCATTATAGATATACAGCCTTTCCCTATGCTATGAAAAATATACAGGCATATCTCACTGACACATATGCTATCATAGTTTCACATAGTGAAATCATTATTGTTAGCTTTAATAATTTGGTTTATAAACAGTAATCTTTGACCATGCTATATAAAAGTAACCAAGACGCTAAAACGGCTATGAAATTTCACTTTTTGCTTACAGTCAAGGGAAGGATTTATGTATGTTGCTAATTAACTTTCCTGAACATAAATTTAAGCAACGTTAATGGAGCAGCTTTGCATCCAAGATTAAAAATGATGTTCACATTTGCCATTGAGTGCAGAATTTTTTTAACCAACTGAAAAAATCTTTTCAGATCAGTTTGGTGTTGGAAAAGGCTTGCAGGCACATATAAATGACATAAGGCTAGGGATTGAAAATAAGACCACCATGTCTCTTGAATGCTCAAATAAAACCATTTATTCCCCCTCTGGACTAGCTTGGACAACAACCTAATTGAGCACAACATTGCTTTTCTTTTGAGGGCAACCCTTATTTACATCATTTTACTGTGTTATGCAGCAAAATAAAAGCATTAGGGGAATAAGTTATGTACTAGTACACAAGGCTTTCACACTACAGTATGTGTTTTATTGTTTGGGAAAGTTTATATATTCGGCTGCATATATAGAAGAGTTCAAAATAAAGACGTAACTCATCCCAGCTAATCCACGTTCCCCTATGGACATTTTTTGAGACAAATCAAACAGTGCACTGGTTTTATGAGGGGTTGAAAAATGGGGCAATTTATTTGAAATGCCTCAAATGTTTTTTTTTGTTTTTTTTTTTTTTTTACATTGAATATCAAGTGGCGATCCAACACAATACTTAAAAGTGAACAAAAATGTACTTAAAGGAAAGCATATAGATATAGTAAAATAAACCAAAATAATATGGCTGAATAGGAAAATTGGCTAAATTTAATTTTGTCTTGGGTAGTTTTGTTCTTGGTTTTCATTGATGAGAGGATGTCAAATAAGCTGACCATGTTGGCATACCTAACTTAGTCTACTGGTCAATAAGATTTTATTTTTTTTGTAATACATTTTGAAAGAAGTCTGTTATGCTCACCAAGGCTGCATTTATTGATTAAAAGAACAGAAAATCTGTATTATTGTGCAATATTTTTACTATTAAAAATAAATGTTTTCTATTATAATGTTTTACTTGAGAAAATTGTAGCGCTCCAAAAAATAGTTCCTTGTACTGCAGGTGCATAGAGCCAGTAGGATACTTGAAAATGAGCAAGAGGGTGGCTAACCGCACACTGATCCACTCAAGACTAAAAAGTCTACAAAAACATGTTTTTAATTTTTATAAATTGCATTGTGCAAAGTGCATGTGAATTAAAAACAGATGGACACGAGCAAGCAAGCAAGCAAACGTTTCAGCACATTGCTATCTTCAGTGCTCACTTAATGCACTTTGCACTTTTGCACAATGCAATTTATAAAAATTTTATTTTTGTAGACTTTTTAGTCTTGAGTGGATCAGTGTGCGGTTAGCCACCCTCTTGCTCATTTTCTATTATAATGTTTTAGAATGTAATTAATTTTTGTGATGGCAAAGCTGAATTTTCAGTAGCCATTACTCCAGTCTTCAGTGTCACACGATCTTTCAGAAATCCTTATAATATGCTGATTTGGTTCTTAAGTGACATTTATTATTATTATCAATGTTGAAAATGTGGAAACCAAAAATATGAAGCATTTTTGCTGAATAAAATGATTCATTTCTTTGGTAGCTTCAAATAAATATGCGCAAAAATACAGTAGAACTGGATCTATAGACTTTGTAGACAACAAAAATGTTTTTTTAGAAACCTATTTATTTTGCTATTGCAACTGCATTGTTATGTAGTTAGTATTTAGAACCTATTCTTGGTTCACAACCCACTTGTGTAAAACTACTCATCTAGTCCATCTGCATACCTTTAAATAAAGTAAGAAGAATGGCATATGTTTGGTGACATCACCTCTTATCCCCTTATAGATGAGAGTCCAACCGCAAGTAAAAAAGCTTCCTGTTAATGGCAAAGTCATTGAGCTGGTTTTTGCAAAGGCCGGCTTTCCATGAGTGCTTCAACGAGAGTTTGTTTTTAATTAATGCTCTTTGAGTGGGATTGGAGTTTTCATTATACAGTAAGAGCATTAGAGAGGGGAATTTGACGTTTGGAGGGGAAATGGTGCCCAGCAGTCTTGACACTGATGACTGGATTAAGCCCCAGTAAGTGCGTGCGCAGAACATACACCTGGGACTTTGATAAGTACGCTAAGAGAGCCGAGACCAATTCAGCGCAGCTGCGGCAGCCCTCCCGGCACGTCTTTCATCACGCTAAGACAAAAGAATGTCATCAGCCGTGGTGCTCGGGATGGGGGTGGAGTGGTATGGGATTGGGAAAGGTAAATTGTAAAGAAAAGGGGAAATGATGCAGTTGTTTGGATTCATTGCGGCTGTGTAACAGCTGTTGATAAACAGGCTCGCTGAGTCGGTGCTGGAGGTGTTTCACTGCTGCATTTGAATAAGGCTGTGTGTGGGGGTGTGTGTTTGTGTGTGCGTGCCATGAGCGGTGTGTATGTGTCTTAACTCTTGTCCTCTGTTGGCAGTGCACGGTGTGTGGGAAGAGTGGTCTCCGTGGAGCCTCTGCTCTTTCACCTGTGGGAGGGGTCATCGCACCCGCACTCGGATGTGCACTCCACCCCAGCACGGAGGAAGAGCGTGTGAGGGACCCGAGACCCAGAGCAAACTCTGCAACATTGCCCTCTGTCCAGGTCTGTGCGCTTCAGATACACTGCTTTCTCCCATCCTCACGTCTCATCTCAACTCATCCTGTCTTATCTTGCCTCACCTTATCTGTTCTCTTGTTTCTTTTCTCCAATTGTCTCGAACTGTCTGTTCCGTTCTGTATTGTTCCCTTCTATTCTGTTGTATCATCTGTGCTGTCTTCTCATCTCATTTTGTCTCATCTTGTCTGTGCTCTTCTTTTCTCATCTTGCATCTTCTCATCTCTTCTTGTCTTATATCATCTGTGTTTTTTCCTCTGTTATCTTCTTTTGCCTCTCCTGTTCTGTTTTCTTGTCCTCTCTTCTCTTTCATGTCTCAATTGTGCTCTTTTCTTCTCATCTGGTCTCTTCTCGTCTCATTTTGTCTCATCTTCTCTGTGCTTGTCGTTTCTTTTTTCATCTTATATCTTCTCATCTCTTCTTCAGTTCTCTTCTCCTCCTTTTCTCCTTTTGTTTCACCTCTTCTCTTCTCTTCTTGTCTCAGCTCACATCTCCTATTCTCTTCTTGTCTCATCTCTTCCCTTCCCTTCCCTTCCCTTCTGATCTTGCCTCATCTCGTCTTATCTTGTCTCTTCTCTTCTCTTCTCTTCTCTTCTCTTCTCTTCTCTTCTCTTCTCTTCTCTTCTCTTCTCTTCTCTTCTCTTCTCTTCTCTTCTCTTCTCTTCTCTTCTCTTCTCTTCTCTTCTCTTCTCTTCTCTTCTCTTCTCTTCTCTTCTCTTGTCCTTTCCTTTTCTCCTTTTGTCTCCACTTTTGTTTTGTTCTGTACTCTTTTCTTGTCCTCTCTTCTTGTCTAGTCTCATATCTTTTTCTTGTCTCATCTTTGCTTTTCTTGTCTTGCTTATTCACTTTTCTTCTTGTCTCATCTCTTCTGTACTTATTTTCATGTCTCTTCTTATCTTTTCTCTTATCTTGCCTCATTTCACCTCATTTTGTCTTTGCTCTTCTCCTCTGTTGTTTCCTTTTCTCTTCTTGTTTCTTCTTTTTTGTTGTTCTCTTCCCTTCTCTTCCTATACTTATCTCATATCTCCTATCATCTCATCTTTTCTCTTGTCTCAAATCTTTTCTAGCCTTGTTTCTTCTCCTCTTGTCTTTCCTTTGTCTTCTCTTCTTTACTCATCACGTCTCACTTCTCTACTGAGTCATTCTCTCTCTTTTCTGAATCTGATGCCTCCGTGTGTCCCCTGAGCCTCTTGCTTTTCTAGCCGTTCTCTAACTGTAATCAGTTTTGTTGTAAATTGAAGACCACTCCACTAATTTGGATGCGTTTGTGAGCCACCGTCCTCTGAGAATGATTTGGTGGAATTAGGCCTGACATGGAATCCCCTCAATGTTTGATCCTGTCTATAAAGAATCAAAGCTCATCTCACATGGAGGTGGCTCTGGGGAGTAAGCAGCAGCTGGCAGCGGTGGAACATTACAGGATCAATTACGGAATAGTTTATTACGTGGGACAGAGAGGGAATGGATACGCTCACAAGGCTTCTTGGCATGTTGAAAGCAACCACGTGTGGCGTGCAATAAAACCCGCAAGGCTGAGAGAAACACAGTTTTAGACTCAGCCTACTGTAGAGCTGAAGTGAAAATCACATAAGCACAATTGTCTGTGAATGATAGCCACTTAGAGTTTCTATACACTGTAGATGGGTAAGTACTGTAACACATTGTCTAATCTTGGTTAGCTTTGTTGGTCTCATGCTTTAAAAGTCTCGTCCCATTCAGCAAAAAAAAAGAAGCAATTAGCCCCTCTTTACATCTCTGTGTTGTGTTTTGTAGCATCAGCTCACTCAGAGCTTGTGCTGTTGCCAAATTCTGGCTTGCATATTTTGGTCTGAGTCTTTTAAAGTTGACCTCAGAGCTCACGTGTGATGAAAATCCTCCACCGTTTTCAACAAATTTCTTCTGGATTGAGAGTGGAACACATCACAAGACCAGAATATTCACTACAGGAGTAGCTTTTACTGGGTCATGTTGGCTAGTTAGTGAGCTATCTAAGGCACTCGGGCAGTATTATTACCTCTTTCCCTGGGGCTAATGGGGTTATTCAGGCTGACAGTAGCCCTAATTCCAAATGTATGCAATCTTTTTTCTTTCTCTCTCTCTCTCTCTCTCTCTCTCTCTCTGTTTCATATATCATATCTGTCCTGATCCTGATTACATTCTAATTGAAGCACTCGTGTTCAAATAATTGTGAATTTTTCAATACTAGCAGAAATTATATAGAAGCAAATGTTCCATATATGAGAAAGTTAACCTTGAAAGGTTAAATGTGTCATTTCTGTTCAAAACAGAATTCCAGATATAACTCGATTATAGCATTTCTACAGAACAAATATGATTGTTTTTTGCCAGGAGGAAGAGCGTGTGAGGGACCCGAGACCCAGAGCAAACTCTGCAACATTGCCCTCTGTCCAGGTCTGTGCGCTTCAGATACACTGCTTTCTCCCATCCTCACGTCTCATCTCAACTCATCCTGTCTTATCTTGCCTCACCTTATCTGTTCTCTTGTTTCTTTTCTCCAATTGTCTCGAACTGTCTGTTCCGTTCTGTATTGTTCCCTTCTATTCTGTTGTATCATCTGTGCTGTCTTCTCATCTCATTTTGTCTCATCTTGTCTGTGCTCTTCTTTTCTCATCTTGCATCTTCTCATCTCTTCTTGTCTTATATCATCTGTGTTTTTTCCTCTGTTATCTTCTTTTGCCTCTCCTGTTCTGTTTTCTTGTCCTCTCTTCTCTTTCATGTCTCAATTGTGCTCTTTTCTTCTCATCTGGTCTCTTCTCGTCTCATTTTGTCTCATCTTCTCTGTGCTTGTCGTTTCTTTTTTCATCTTATATCTTCTCATCTCTTCTTCAGTTCTCTTCTCCTCCTTTTCTCCTTTTGTTTCACCTCTTCTCTTCTCTTCTTGTCTCAGCTCACATCTCCTATTCTCTTCTTGTCTCATCTCTTCCCTTCCCTTCCCTTCCCTTCTGATCTTGCCTCATCTCGTCTTATCTTGTCTCTTCTCTTCTCTTCTCTTCTCTTCTCTTCTCTTCTCTTCTCTTCTCTTCTCTTCTCTTCTCTTCTCTTCTCTTCTCTTCTCTTCTCTTGTCCTTTCCTTTTCTCCTTTTGTCTCCACTTTTGTTTTGTTCTGTACTCTTTTCTTGTCCTCTCTTCTTGTCTAGTCTCATATCTTTTTCTTGTCTCATCTTTGCTTTTCTTGTCTTGCTTATTCACTTTTCTTCTTGTCTCATCTCTTCTGTACTTATTTTCATGTCTCTTCTTATCTTTTCTCTTATCTTGCCTCATTTCACCTCATTTTGTCTTTGCTCTTCTCCTCTGTTGTTTCCTTTTCTCTTCTTGTTTCTTCTTTTTTGTTGTTCTCTTCCCTTCTCTTCCTATACTTATCTCATATCTCCTATCATCTCATCTTTTCTCTTCTTGTCTCACATCTTTTCCTTGTTTCTTCTCCTCGTCTTTCCTTTTGTCTTCTCTTCTTTTCTCATCTTGTCTCTCTTCTCTATGGAGTCATTCTCTCTCTTTTCCGAATCTGATGCCTCCATGTTCCCCTGAGCCTCTTGCTTTTCTAGCCGTTCTCTAACTGTAATCAGTTTTGTTGTAAATTGAAGACCACTCCACTAATTTGGATGCGTTTGTGAGCCACCGTCCTCTGAGAATGATTTGGTGGAATTAGGCCTGACATGGAATCCCCTCAATGTTTGATCCTGTCTATAAAGAATCAAAGCTCATCTCACATGGAGGTGGCTCTGGGGAGTAAGCAGCAGCTGGCAGCGGTGGAACATTACAGGATCAATTACGGAATAGTTTATTACGTGGGACAGAGAGGGAATGGATACGCTCACAAGGCTTCTTGGCATGTTGAAAGCAACCACGTGTGGCGTGCAATAAAACCCGCAAGGCTGAGAGAAACACAGTTTTAGACTCAGCCTACTGTAGAGCTGAAGTGAAAATCACATAAGCACAATTGTCTGTGAATGATAGCCACTTAGAGTTTCTATACACTGTAGATGGGTAAGTACTGTAACACATTGTCTAATCTTGGTTAGCTTTGTTGGTCTCATGCTTTAAAAGTCTCGTCCCATTCAGCAAAAAAAAAGAAGCAATTAGCCCCTCTTTACATCTCTGTGTTGTGTTTTGTAGCATCAGCTCACTCAGAGCTTGTGCTGTTGCCAAATTCTGGCTTGCATATTTTGGTCTGAGTCTTTTAAAGTTGACCTCAGAGCTCACGTGTGATGAAAATCCTCCACCGTTTTCAACAAATTTCTTCTGGATTGAGAGTGGAACACATCACAAGACCAGAATATTCACTACAGGAGTAGCTTTTACTGGGTCATGTTGGCTAGTTAGTGAGCTATCTAAGGCACTCGGGCAGTATTATTACCTCTTTCCCTGGGGCTAATGGGGTTATTCAGGCTGACAGTAGCCCTAATTCCAAATGTATGCAATCTTTTTTCTTTCTCTCTCTCTCTCTCTCTCTCTCTCTCTCTGTTTCATATATCATATCTGTCCTGATCCTGATTACATTCTAATTGAAGCACTCGTGTTCAAATAATTGTGAATTTTTCAATACTAGCAGAAATTATATAGAAGCAAATGTTCCATATATGAGAAAGTTAACCTTGAAAGGTTAAATGTGTCATTTCTGTTCAAAACAGAATTCCAGATATAACTCGATTATAGCATTTCTACAGAACAAATATGATTGTTTTTTGCCAGGGCAGAAGGTTCCACCATTATACAAGATTGTTGTAGGTGGTTTCCAGAGCATTGCTATGTAATTCCTTAGGTGTTAATTTTCATTTTTAGCATGTTGCTATGAGGATCTTAAGGTGTTCTGAATGGGTGCTAAAATGGGTTACCCATTGTCCAAAATCACATGCACCATTGCACAGAAAAGTAATTGCACCCATGCAAATGAAATACTAAAGCACCACTAATGTTTTCAACATTTATGCATATGGAAAAAGCTTTTACCCACAGCCACTTGCACCGAAAGGTATACATTTTATTAGTTAATGCATTCAAACCCATAACCTGTTGCAAGCAACATGCTTTATTATTTGAGTAGGTGTTATGCTAAGTAGAACCAGACAAATGGTTACGATTCCATTTGGTACCTCTAGTGGCACAGAAATTACACACTTAGGACATAAATATGGCAGGTAAATTCATCTTAATCAGAAGATGCTAAACCCAGCTCAGGAAACTTACTTCTCTTTGCAATATTTTCTCTGCTCCATTTGGGATGCTGTTTTTGCGTTCTGCATGGGCGCCCTCAGTGGACGGGCAGTGGCAGGAGTGGAGTGCGTGGAGCGATTGCTCGGTGACCTGTGCCAACGGAACTCAACAGCGGAAGAGGCAGTGCTCAGCGGCTGCTCATGGGGGATCTGAGTGCAGAGGACATTGGGCGGAGAGCAGAGAATGCTCCAACCCTGAATGCACAGGTACGACACAGGTTCCTTCTACATCTCATTAACTCAAAGGGAAATCTAGGTGTATATTTTTCATTCAGTACTTTTAAAGCAGTTCTCTCTCTGGGATATCCAAAAAGGAAAAAAGAGAAATATCTTTTAGCAGTAGGACAGTTTTAATGACCCCATGAATTTTTTGATGATCATATTTGTTATAGAGCGCTGCAGTGAATACATATTTTTGTAGGCCATCCTGTATGTTAGCATCACCCTAGTTCTTTTGATAAAAAAACAATAGGATTTTCCCAGTAGGATTAAAATGCTTATTTTTAATAAATATCATAGATTTTCAATCCAAAAATATCAGTTTGTTTTTGTAACAAAAAAAGTAACTAATAAATTAAAAACATGATCATCAAAGAAGGTTATAGGCATTGTAGCTATGATTCCCCCCCCCCAAATATTAATAGAATATGCTATTGCGAACAATATGAGTCATCAATAGTTTTATTTAATTTTCCCAGAACAGAAAGACTAAATTTTCACATTTGTGTTTTTGCTAAAAATATGTCTGTACTTACTAAAAAATGTAATATCTTATAAAATAACATCAGATATGGAAAAAAGGCCATATAACTTTGATTTCTTTGAACCCCTGGCTAACTACAGTATGACATCATATCAACAGTCAAGACATCTCTTCTATATACTTTATGTCGAGCATTAGCTTAAGTCTGTGTTGATAGACCATAGCGGTGGGTCTTGCTTGAGAGCACATACTCTGTATGCCTGGCAGGTAGTTCTTTAAAACATACTGGGGCCCCTCAACATGATGCTTGTAAGCTGTAAGAGTCTTGCTCTACATGGTTCATGATAACAGAGAGTCTCAGTGAGTTTGAAGCTGCTTACAGGGTGAGGCGCGATATGTTGTAGCATCAAAGCTAAAATGGAAGATGTTTTGTTTGTATGGAATTTAATGTTACATTAATATTTATTTTCCAGAGTTCACATCTGAAATGTCTATATGTTATTTCTATATATTTCAGTTCACTTACATTGATAAAATATTCAACATTCAAAATGTAACTGACTGTGATGTCGGTATCATAATATTTAAATGCTGCATTGCGTGTATTTTCGGAACCGACTTTCCATGCAAATGTTTAACCATGAAGTTCTGATATATGAGGTGAAAATGTGAGATAAAGTCAAAACTACAAGAAAAAACTACAATAATTAAATTATATTTGTAAGTTTTTTTAAAACAAATATTAGTAATTTTAATAAAAAATATAATTTGAGTCACACAATGTGACATTTCAAAACTATCAAAAAGGGTCGAAATTTCTATATATTTCAGTTGACGTATATTTGTTGACATAAAATGTTCAGCATTCAAAATTGAACTGACAGTGATGTTGACCTATATTTAAATGCTGAATTTTCCTTGTACATACAGTATTTAACTATGGAGTTGCAGTTGTGATATATCAGGTGAAAATGTGAGATAAAATGTCAAAACTACAAGAAATAAATTCTAAATGATGTGAAATGGTCAAATTTACCTTTGATTATAAATAATATAAGGTGTAAATGGATTTCCGTACTGCAAGCACTTGCAAATGCAAATCTATTTACTGTATATCTGAAGGTCAATTATGAGAAGCTTTACACATGTGATAATTGATACTGTAGACTAAGAGTGAGAAATGTTTGCCTTTGAATGGTAGAATATTTATTTGCTTGAATGCTTGAACAAGTTCAGATATTAAGGCTTTTTTTAACTAGACTATTTGACACATTTATTGAGGTGGCTTGATTAAAGGCTTTTTTATGAAGCTGCGTAGAGGTCAAATACTGTATACCCCAGTGCTTTTATATGATTTGACCGTATATATTGATTTTAAAGTAACATTCTTGCAGCCTCCACATAGTCTAAATGTCAATGTAAATGTGTCCTTGAGCACTAGTGTACATTCAGCACAGGTGAATGCTAGTTTACAGGTGAACATGTCCTCTCTCTCACACATGATTTATAGCACAGCTGAGGGCAACATCTGTCTTTTTTCATTTCTCCCTTTCCAATGCCAAGAAACAATATTTTACTCCGTTCATTAGATGCCCGTAAAACATCTCGAAGCCTTTTAAAACTTTACCATAAAATGTGTTTCAGGACTGGCAAAGTGAGGGAAATTATTATCCCAGTTGTAGGGCGCCCTCACGCTCGTAAAGCAGAGACAAATATCCGATCATTGCAAGTATCGTGGTAATGATTTTATTAATTAAATCAAGAGCGAATTCTGCCAAAAGTCTGGTTTTATTGCATCTCTGGCCTCTAGAGCATGTCAACATGACAAGAAACTGGATGGTTTTTAATGCGCCAAACCCTCCTTTGCAAACGAGTGTGTTTTATAATGTTCCGCACTGTACTTGTCGTAATTCTTTAGCTTTCACAGAAGATGGCTCGAATAACTTTTAAGAGTGCACATCCACATAAAGGTGCAATGTCATTATCGAGCTTGAAAGATGGAATGTAAGAGACAATGAACAGAATAAGAAGGTGCAGATCATCTACATATAGCGGTTGACTATTCTTTGAGTCTCTATTCTTTATATTGTATCTCAGTGTAGTTTAAAGGGATAGTTCACCCAAAAAAGAAAATTATGTCATTAATTACTCACCGTCATGTCTATTGAAAACCTGTAAGACAAATTATGATATTTTAGATGAAATCTGAGAGCTTTATGTCTCTGCATAGATAGCAATACAACTACCACTTTCAAGGCCCAGAAAGGTAGTAAGAACATTATCAGAATAGTCATTGTGACATCAGTGGTTCAACTGTAATGCTATGAAGCTACGAGACACTACACTTTTTGTGTGCAAAGAAAACAAAAATAACAACTTTATTCAGCAATTTCTTATCTTCTTATTTTCTTTGCGCACAAAAAGAGAATGTGCGCATTTGTGCGTAGCTTTATAGCATTACGGTTAAACCACTGATGTCACGTGGACTGTTTTAATGATGTCCTTACTAGCCTTGAACGTGTCAGTTGCATTGCTGTCTATGCAGGGTCAGAAAGCTGGCGGATTTCATTAAACATATCTTAATTTTTGTTCCGAAGATGAACGAAGGTCTTACGGGTTTGGAATGACACAAGGGTGAGTAATTAATGACAGAATTGATGACTGAATTAATGACAGTCATTTTTGGCTAAAGTATCCCTTTAAGTTGTATTTACCTGTGTTTAGTACAAGTTGTGGATGAAATAGGGGACTTGATAGACTTACAAAAAGGGCAAATCATGGGAGCCTGTTTAGCAGGTGCATCTGTAACCTTAACAGCCCAATTATTTGGGGTTTTAAGAGCAGTGGTCTTTACATTTTTGACTGTGTACAAAAAGCATGTCAAGATTTCATCAGCAAAGAAGAATAATGGGCAAAAACCAATAGGCGAAATACTGGACGAAGGTGAATGATAGGGACCGTCGACACAGAACTACTGATGCAAAGTCACAGCAAAAAGAAGAACCTGTTTCCACAAAAACTGACCAACTTTACAAAGTCAGCATCCATGAAAGAGCTACAATCGCTAAAAGTTTAATCACAGACACCAATGCTAAAATGCGAAAATTATAGTGTCATGATCAGAAAATCTGTGCAGTTGGAGCATCAAGATGAACTTCAACCAAAATCTACCCTGGCCATCTCAATACCTGACTAAATGAATAAACATTCCCCATTTTCTATGTTTTCACATTATTTTGTTCGACCCCTGTATCTGTCTTTCAGCTAACGGACAGTGGAACGCTTGGGCTCCGTGGAGTGGGTGTTCTAAGTCCTGTGATGGTGGTTGGCAGCGGAGGGTACGTGTTTGCCAGGGGTTGGCGGTCACGGGGCAGCCATGCGAAGGCAGCGGGGAGGAGGTCCACAGATGCAGCGAGCAGCGTTGCCCAGGTAACCCTGCGAATAATTGAGCCCCAAGAGTCAATTATGTCAGAATGGGCATAGAGGGGTGAATGAGAGATGGATGCGGGGATAATTATCTTTTCCATTCAGAAATCCATGTCCGTTTTTTTGCACTGGATTATTATTCGTTTGAGAAGTAATGAACATATACCATAATTGTATTTTCCAGCGAGGAATGGTCAACACAATTTTTACCAGTAATGGATTTTTAATTTCACATAAATGATGTCATGCAATTCTCATCTATTAGAAACAGTCTCCATGGAAACAGTGCTTTATGTTCATGCATATACATGCATTTACATGCACACTTAGGTATGTTACAAGGACAGTTATAAAAACTGGTATTGTTGACTGAATTAATCATTCCCCTAATCTCAAATGCTTGAAATTAGTTTTGCAGTTAAATTGATGGAACGGGAATGTCTTTACAAACATTTTTAAGTATGACTGGCCAGTGATTTATGATTTCCAGTCATAAAGAGAACATATATAATATAATATAATATAATATAATATATAATTGTATATGTGCATTAGAAATACAGTTTTACTTCCTTATATCATATTGCAGCATTTATATGACCAAAAATTCTGTGGCATTTATATGTGGGCAATGTAAAATTAAAATTGGCTTGCATTATATTCTGATCCATTTCCCCCATTCTCCACCATCAATTACTTGTAATCTTTCTAATGTTCTTTAAATAATAATGCAAAAAAAATAAAATTATTTCTTTTAAAAGTGTGTCTACATTTTATTCCTGAACCATAGCTCCTTATGAAATATGCCCGGAGGATTATGCTGTGTCCATGCTGTGGAGAAGAACTCCCTCTGGGGAACTGGCCTTCAACAGGTGTCCTCCCAACGCCACGGGTAAGAAAAGCCACGACAGTCAGTGGTTGAAGAGCACTCAGCCAAACACAAAGACACAAAGGAAGAATAGAATGGCATCACAGATGCTTTCAAAAGAAAGAAAAAGAGCACAGCTTATGTTTTTTGTGCAGCTTTTCTTTTGCAATGCAATGATGTTGAAATTATTCATAAATTCAGAAGGCTATGATGACAAATGTTTCTCACTAGTATGTTCAGCACTGCTGCGACTGCCTTTAAATGGCTTATGCCGTGTGTACCTAGAGATTTTTGTCATTTGCATACCATTGAACCCTCCAGCGTTTTGTCAACATCTTTGCGAGGCCGCTTTCTGCAGCGTAAAGGGAGAAAATATAAAAAAAGAGAAACCGTTTCCCCATCTTTGAGATATAATATAGAGGTGTCCCATTTTTCTCTCTCTCTCTCTCTCTCCTCGGATCGGTCCGAGGTGTGAGTCTTACTGATTGTGGTCTGAAAATGGCAGAAGGTGCTGTACTGAATTTCTGTAACCTCCTGCTATCTCCTGTTGTGAAGATGCTCTGCAATGTCACTACAGTGTCCTTGAAAGAGCAGGTGCTGGAGGAAAAATAAAAAATGCAGGCAGCACGGACTCAGAGATAACAGCGAACAGTCCGGCATAACTAGAACTAGGCGAGCAGAGGCTGACTGCAAATGCGTGTATAGATGGATTAATGTCTTTTGTGGATATATTTCAATATGTGGGTGGACTGCCGCCATAGGCCCGTGTGTACTTTTGTATTTTTTTTTTATTTTGGGTTGAGAACATTTAATTATATCATTTATACATAAAAGAGACCGTGTGTCAACCCGTGGGTGGAATTAGTTAGATTTACATTGTTTGTTTTCCACATAACCCACGTTGAAATTTCAGGTGGTGCAAAAGCACTGGAGTGGGATCTGACACCATGAAATGCTGGAAAATCTTCATTCATTATGAGGCTGGAATTAAACTCCAACAAAAACGAATGAAAGCAACAAAAATCAAACAGTTGGAAGTAGCTGAAGCTTTTAGGGAATGATTAAGAATGGTTGGCTATAAAACATGCAGGATGAGAACTTTTCACTTTTGCGTTGTCCTATTTTGTGCGCAAACACGATTGGACGATGTTCCTGTGATCTTTACGTGTTTGTGTGAGATTAAATCTGGTTAGGCCCCTCAGTGGTGGCATGCGTTTTAATGGTGAGTTCTGAGAACGTCCGCTTTGATCCGGCTCTGTAGGAGTTTTCCGTGATCTGTGGGCTGGATGTCCCTGCTTGGTTGCCTCAGCTTGAGGGCAGGCGGCTGGCTGCAGCTGCGTCTCAGGTGGGCCGAGGTTTCGCTGCTGGCTGGGTAGCAGGCGGTGGAACCGCGTTGGAACGAGAGCAGATAAGAAGTGTGTGGAAGAGGGGTGCGGGTGGGTGTGGTGAGGTTGTTCCAAAGGCAAGGACGCGTCTTAATGCGAGACGATACGTGTAGGACATGCTCTGACGGATCGGAGGCGAGGAATTTTGTGCATTTGTTTATTCGCTCCCAAGTGTGGGCGGCAGTTTTGTTGATATCTCAGGTTGCAGGGTTCGGTTCGCAGTCGTCAAAAACAAAAAAGTCAAATTGGTGCATGACAGCTGGCATCAGTTAACATCATAATTCTGTGAGTGGGAATTACGACCAGTTCTTTAAAGCACGTAATTACAGTTTGGTTTGTTCGCACGCATATACTGCAGTGGCACATGTGAGGCGCATGTGATCTGGCAACCGCCGCATTTAGATGATGAGGAAGGCTGCTGCTTTTATCCTCTCGCTGAAAGATGTGTGGGCTGGCAGGTAGAATGAAAAAGGAAAAAAGACTTACAAGAACAAGTATAAACCCCTTCTCTGTCTCTCTCTCTTCTACCTCCTCCTTCTTTGCAGGCACCACTAGTCGACGCTGCTCACTGGATCACCGCGGGGTGGCCTATTGGGAGCAGCCCAGCTACGCTCGATGCATTGCAAATGAATACAGATACTTGCAGCAATCAGTAGGTGCAAAGTCAGCTTCCTGCACTCTGCTTCTGTTTGTGACATGCCATAAATTACCCCTGCAGTCGTCACGATCACCCAAAATATTTCCACCCGTACCTCCCAACCCGGCACCCCAGACCACCACGCAGGTCTGCAAGATAAACTGCTATCATCGGAAAGGCAAATTAAACCGCTAGTATTGCAGTTTGAGACCCTGAGTTAATGGAGGACTCGCTCTAATTTCCTGTAAAATCTTGGAGATTGTTGTTCCAGCTCCACCGGAGCTTTTTCTGGGAGCGCACCTGCTCGACACGAATGAATGATTTTCGCTCTTTTTGTTTTCAGCTTCCTCTTATCTCAGTCTTTCTCAAATGCAATACTTTGTGTTATTTCCAAGCTTTTGGGTACATCTCTCTCTCTCTCACACACACACACACACACACAGAAAAGCATGGTAAGGGACTTTCCTTTGACTTGTATTGGCTTTATACTGAGGTAATGATATTTTCTATCCCCTAGCTCTTACACCTTTTTGCCTGTTAAAAATTTAATTAAGGCACAGGGGCACCTTGCTAAAGGTCAGAGGAATCTGGCAGGAGATGGCATGTCCCAGGTTACGAAGGTCCTCCTGGACCTCACCCAAAGACGCAATTTCTATGCAGGTGACCTTCTCTCTTCAGTGGAGATTCTTCGAAACGTCACAGACACCTTCAAAAGGGCCAGTTATGAACCCTCTTCTGATGACGTTCAGGTAAGAGAGAAAATAATCTGGTTTCTTGTTAACCTCCATGCTTATATACATCTTTTAGCTAATTTAATTTAGGCATTGTGGTAAATTAATTTGTCTTAGGTCTTTTTTTTTGCAAGCGACATACACTACGGGTCAAAGGTTTGGGGTCAAAGAGATTTTTATTTTTATTTTTTAGAAATAAATGAATGCTTTTCTCCACCAAGAATGCATTAAATCAATCCAAAGTGACAATTAAGAAATTTATAATGGTACAAAAGATGACATTTTTAAATAAATTGTTATTTTGAACTTTATATTAATCAAAGAATATATTATGGCTTCCAACGCAATTGTTTTCAGCTGTGCTAATATTAAGAAATGCTTCTTGAGCAGAATATTAGAATGATTTCTGAAGGATCATGTGACACTAAATACTGGATTAATGGCTGCTAAAAATTCAGCTTTGCCGGCACAGAAATAAATACATTTATTTTAATCATTTACAATTTTACTGTTTTTATTGCATTCTTGATCAAATAAATGCAGACTTGGTGACTTTTCTTTTTCCAAAAAACATAAAAAAAATTATACTCACCCAAAATGTTTGAAAGGTAAAATAAATTGGAAATATTTCATTATATGATATAGATGTTTTAAAGGGTTATTACATGCATTAAAATGGGTTAAAAATAAGTGCAACTATATTTTTCCCACTTTGCTTTCTCTGACATTACAACTCAGGATAGTCACATGGCAATGTGATTGGCTCTAAAATGCATATCTCCAGAACAGAATGCCTGTGAGCAGAGATAGCCGCATGCCAGTCATATGTTTCTGGAGGGTGACGTTCTAGTCAAGGAACTGCCGTCGAGATGAATGGGAATACTGACAGGTTTCTCAAGATATTCTAGGTATTTGGTTGAAGTTAGCAAAATGGCGGAAGTTAGTAAAACATCTCCAATCACTTACAGCACCTTCAAAATGGCAATGTCACTACTTGGCACCGTGACTGATAAATATCTCGGCGCTCTTGCCCCTCACAGAGAGCTTATGGGATTGTGACACCGTGCGCCAGCTGCTGATAAGAGATAGTCACTAAGTCTATCTCATTCTATCTCAAAGCCTTGTCATAACCTTCCCAATGCCCAAATAAACCGATTTCTCATGACCTGTTTGTGAGAATCTGGGTATTTTTACATAATACGGAGTGTAATGTGATTTTGTGTATGTTTGTGTGTCGGGTTGGTGTAGGAGGTTTTATCTAAGCCCTGATGTGAACCGGAGCGGCCCCTCCTCCCCACGCATGTGTGCCGGGGTGGGTTGTGTGTTTTGGAACGTATTAAAGGGGTCATATGATGCTGCTAAAAAGAACATTATTTTGCAAATCTTCCCAGATCGTGATGTAGATATGTGGGGGCGTGTTAGAACGAGCCGTTTTAGGCAGGCGTGGTTGACTCTTAACTTTTATAAAGAATATCTCTTTGGATTCGAGACTTTAGTCTTTGCAAATTTACAGATCTTCTTTATGCACCAAGAGCTTGTAACACTCCAAAGAGAAAGGAAAAAATGAAATCGCATCATATGACCCCTTTAATGCTGTGTTTAAGTGGACGCATTACCACCAGAGGGAGCATAAGCATTCAAGTAGAAAAACAAGCATGCCGGAGCCAAGACGCTGCCTCTCTCCTGCCTTCCGTGGCACAGAGGCAGAGCAGCAAACAAAAAAAGACAGGCACACGTCCAGCTGATATCTCATTCAGCCCAGCCACCGCCGCAAACATCAGCTCTCTTTCCAGTCTTGGAGTAGACAGCTCTCCCAAGCGCCTTCAAACTCAACCGACACTCTCTGTTCTTCCCCTTTAATTCTGTGCACATTCGAGTGCTTAGGAAAGATCAACCAATCCCTGAATTGAAAGCAGCAGGAAATCCCAGGTGTGTTTTAGAGCCGAGTCCACTGGACATATCCCATCATCTCCCTGTAAATCAGTGCTGTGATCCTCGGTGTAATTCCCCGAGACACTGTTTGTTTAGACTTCTGAAATGCAAGGGAGATTCTTCATTATTGCCTTTTCAGGGAACACTGAGTAGATTTTTTCCCCCCTCAAACATTCCAGATATGAACATTTCTAGTTTGCTTTTTCAAGGGCTATGTAAAATTTCAATTTAAAGTCAATTTAATACTTGTATCTACTTAAGCAGTAGGTACAAGAAGCTGTGCTATTTTTATGAATACAGTCACGGCTAAATTCTCACAATGGCAGAGCCTCAAGTACATTATTGCTTTTTTAATGCTTCATAATAAAAATATATCAAGGCCACAAATAGTGTTTTATTATGCAAATTCATTAAACATTATCCTTCCGTTATAGTATATAGTCCTTGACAAGCAGAATATTATTCTGTGGGTACTGTGCATGTACACACACAATTTTCAAAAATTTATTATGAGGTTGTTCTGAATGAATTTAGTCATTCATAATGCCTAATAATACATCTCAGAATCTGTTTTTAATGTTGTCATGTATATGACATATGCCATAGTTATCATACAATTTTAATTTCTTTAAATTTATAATCTTTTAAAAGCACATTTCTTTAAAATACACGATTAAAAATCATATTCATGTTTATATCATGCATTATAATGCATTGTCATTTTTAAGGACAATAATGTATTATAATGTTTTTTTAAATTTTTGGTTTTACTCTGTTATGTAACGCTCACTTTTCAGGTTCAATATCCTGTTTTACTCATAAATATGCTGCATTTCGGAAGTAAAATTCTTGTTTTTAAAAAGCATCTTACCTTTTTTTTTTCATTGGTATATAACACCTACTTTTTAAGTTCAGTTTCCTATTTATATTTGCTGAAGTTTGGGTGTAAAATGGGTTGCAATTCACGTTGAAATTTATACTTTTCAAACTATACAAATTATATATTGACTGAAATGTGATCACAACTGTATCCCAAAATAATGTTACCAGCCTGTTCCTGTGACAGCAGCGTTTTACTAACTACAATTTCTTCTCTCCACAGAATTTTTTTCAGATCATCAGCAATCTCCTGGAAGAGGAGAACAGAGAAAAGTGGGAAGACGCACAACAGGTGGGTCTGAACATTGTGAACGAGTGTTTTTGAAGCTTCGGGGTCGAGATTGCTTTATTATGGTCACATCACAGAGAGTATCTGGTGTTGTGTGTCACTCTGCGGCTGTATATTGTGTGATGAGCCCTCAGCGAATCGATTGCCATCACCGGTGCAGATGCTTTAGGTAATTGTCAGGTCAAAGAGGTGCCTGGGCTGGGCTGCGTCAAATCAAACCTTCTCTGCCAAATACCGACCTCCCTGCTGTGCTGATTGGTGGAAGGACATTTGCAATATCCACTGCATCCACTTGGTGGCAGCAGCATTGGTAGCATATGTCCAGCTCTTATGCTTTCCGTCAGCAGTGACGGCATTGTCTTCTCTCAATCTCTGAGAGACAGTGTAAAAGCAGCCTGAGGGATTTGGACTTCAACAAGCTGAATGTTCTTTAGAAACTCAAACAAAATCTCCAACTGCATTATTATTGCTCTGAACCAAATTGAGTGTATTAAATGTTTCTTTCTTTCCTTTAAGCCTGAACTGGTAATGCATCTTAAGCAAACTGTGCTAATGTTACTGTCTGTCAAATGTAAGCTGCTTTGGAGCTCCTTCGTCTAATGTTTTCACCCGAGTTCTGGTAAAACACGAGTCCTTGAGCGGAGCGGCGTGCCGTGAGTCAAGCGAATTAGCGCTTTAATGGGGTTTACTGTAGGGCAGTGTCACAAGGCTTTTAAAGAAAAGCGATATGTTTTTAAGTCAGGAGTGTGTTCGGAGATCAGGTCACGTAGCCGGTTGCTTGTTTTGCCGAAGGTGTTTTGCCTGGTTAGAACGGTCCCCGGAGCAGACGGACTCCCGTTTTCCATTCACGTTCCTCCTCTGCTTTGTCACAGATTGAATCTTCAAGCTCTTCAAATCATTAAAGGACATCTGAGACGCTTGTCACCGGCTCTGTCAAATGATTGACCTTAGAAAGCCCTGACGTTTAAAGATCACCCAGGATTTGATCTTGTCTGTCTGTCTTGTCTTCTTCTTTAGAGTCAGCTCGCCTGAGCTTTGATTGCCAGTCTAGAGTTCACACCTCAGATTCATGGCAGTCTGTGCTGTTCAGGCAAAGGAGGGGGACAATTTTAAAGGAAGTGCTTAAGAGAAGAAGCTTTGACTTGCCTCGCAAATTCGCAGCTTAAAATAAAGAAGAACATGAGGTTCATTAGTTTCAATAACTGATGGTCTGCTGTCTGCTTGAAGATAATAGTGAGATAAAGTTACGTTCATATCCTAATCTATAGGATACGAAATAATAATAGTAAATACATATAAAATATATGTGAAAATGTTATATTATATTATACATACATACTGTACACACACACACGTAAAAAGTTAGTTAAATATATGATATTAATAGCTATAATATAAAATAACATAACCAAAAAAACATTTTGCATTATTTTGCATTATTGGTACTTTTCTGCCAGTCAAGGAAATTGCCTTTTGAAGTATAGTATAAAAGATCCTATTCTGTATAGCGGAATAGTAATGATAAATTATATTAATAAAAAAAATATATATATATATTATTAGATTAGATTAGATTAGATTAGATTTTATTATAAAAGCTGTAACTATACATTTAACACACACATATATGTATAATACAACATGTATATATACAAAAATCCTTGAAAATGAATTTAGTTAAATATATAATATTAATAGCTTTTATAATATAATATTCCATCACCAAAAATGTTAGCAAAGGAAGTTGCCTTTGTATTTTGGTGTAAATGCGCTATGCTCATGCCTGTTAGTTGGATATACTTGTGACTTATGGCTAAAATCTATACAGCAGAAGAGTGCACCAGTGCAGAAAATATATGACAGTAAAGAATATATATGACAGCACAATTTACTGTATTTGCATGACACTCAGTGCAGCAGCAGTGCTGGTTCATCTAATGGCCGTCAGCCTCGGCCATTTCCCGCATTGCTGTCTTCCCTGCACACTTCAGCAGCCCAGCGCTGTTGCCATGGAGAGGGATGCTCTCTGCTGTCCCCCAGCAGTCTGACCGAGGGGGGGATGGGCCCTCAGCATCTCTCTGCCCGTCTGCAGACTGTCTGATTGGCTTGGCCCAAGATAGGCCCCCATGCGAATGCAGAGCCCGACTCCTGCCAGGGGGATTATTAGATATGTGACTCCATCGCCCTGTTTCTGCACCTCACTAAGGGTGCTAATTATGAAATGTCACTCAGTGCTATTTCTCTGCACCCGCGTTTTTATTTATTTTTTTATTTTTTGTCTTTTGCAGATTGGCTGCAATGTGTTTCTGTGCTTTGTTTGTTGTCACGAGGAGAGGGAGTTCAGATGCTAATGAGATGAGAGAAATAGGAAGCACAGTGTCATATGGCATGTAAATCCATACTGTAAATCTGCTGGGTAAAGGGGTTAAGACAACTTGGTATGAGAAAGTCTTGATTAAACTAGTATAGCAAACAGTGCAGTGTTATTTTAGTATTATTTATATAGTATTGTAGTTTTTTGTTTTGTTTTTGACATTTCTAATTAGCTTTTATTTTTATATTTTCAGTTATGTTTTTGTCATTTTTTAAAATTATTTTAAATTTTTTCATTTCACTTTTAGTACTTCACCTTAAACATTTTATTTCAGTTAGATGCCTAGGCAACATTTATCATTTTTAAAGTTTTTCATATAATATTTATATTTTATTTTACTTTAGCTTTATTTTAATTAATGCAATATAATATTTTTTATACTTTTAGTTTATTAACAACACTGACAAAGATCACACAACCTTGCAGTAAGGTTTCATTTGTTAACATATTTAACTACATTAGTTAATGGGAACAATACTTCTAGAGCATTTCTTAATCTTAATGTTAATATCGACATTTAGTAATACATTTTTTAAATTATAATAATTATATAAAAATACATTTTATAAAAATATATAGATATATACTAACTTGAACATTAACATTTTTATTAACAAAGGTTAAATGCTGTAAAAATATCAATGGTCATTGTTAGTTCATGTTAGTTATCATTAACTACTGATAAAAAAGTTACCCATTTTTATTGATGCACACTATTCAAAATAAATAAATAAATAAAAATAAATTGTGTGACATCATGAATCCCTCTTACATTTCAACCCCTCTCTTCTCACCACTTGATTCCACTTTAAATAATGATTAACTGAATATTTTTATTCTTAAATATCCAGTTAATGAGTCTGAAAAAAAGGCCTGCTCTTGATAAAAGTTCTCCTAGCCCTTCTGTTTCCTCTAAAGATCTTTCAGACTTTCAGAGTGATGGCAGATGTAAATAGCCGAGTTCAGACACCTGAAGGTCAAGGATTGGATCAGCAGAGCGTGATGCTACTGACTGAAAGAGAGCAGGTACTTTGACAGGCTGAGGCTGTGGAATCGGGAGGCGGTGAGCCACAGGCCTGAATTCCTCCACCACATTTGCTCTGACACTGATGGCTGGTCCTCTAGAGAGGCTCTGAGCCCTGCACAATCACTCTGCTGAATGAGTTTGTCTTTGTGAAGGACTGAGCAGACAGGATGCAGGGTTTTAAAGTGTGAGATACAGAGGAAGTGCCCTTTAAAAAGTCTGTATATTCTCCCTCCAAAAGAGTCGGTCGGAGTGCTTTTACTAGGCTGACTGCTATTTATCTATCTATCTATCTATCTATCTATCTATCGTTCTATCGGTCTGTCTATCTGTCGTTCTATCTATCTATCTATCATTCTATCGTTCTATCGTTCTAACATTCTATCGTCTCTTACATTTCAACCCCTCTCTTCTCACCACTTGATTCCACTTTAAATAATGATTAACTGAATATTTTTATTCTTAAATATCCAGTTAATGAGTCTGAAAAAAAGGCCTGCTCTTGATAAAAGTTCTCCTAGCCCTTCTGTTTCCTCTAAAGATCTTTCAGACTTTCAGAGTGATGGCAGATGTAAATAGCCGAGTTCAGACACCTGAAGGTCAAGGATTGGATCAGCAGAGCGTGATGCTACTGACTGAAAGAGAGCAGGTACTTTGACAGGCTGAGGCTGTGGAATCGGGAGGCGGTGAGCCACAGGCCTGAATTCCTCCACCACATTTGCTCTGACACTGATGGCTGGTCCTCTAGAGAGGCTCTGAGCCCTGCACAATCACTCTGCTGAATGAGTTTGTCTTTGTGAAGGACTGAGCAGACAGGATGCAGGGTTTTAAAGTGTGAGATACAGAGGAAGTGCCCTTTAAAAAGTCTATATATTCTCCCTCCAAAAGAGTCGGTCGGAGTGCTTTTACTAGGCTGACTGCTATTTATCTATCTATCTATCTATCTATCTATCTATCTATCTATCTATCTATCTATCTATCTATCGTTCTATCGGTCTGTCTATCTGTCGTTCTATCTATCTATCGTTCTATCTATCTATCTATCATTCTATTGTTCTAACGTTCTAACATTCTATCGTTCTATCATATTGTTCTATTAATCGTTCTATCATTTTGTTGTTCTATCTATCTATCTATCTATCTATCTTTGTATGTCTGTCTGTCATATCATTCTATTGTTCTAACGTTCTAACATTCTATCGTTCTATCATATTGTTTAATTAATCGTTCTATCATTTTGTTGTTCTATCTATCTATCTATCTATCTATCTATCTATCTATCTTTGTATGTCTGTCTGTCATTCTATCTATCTATCTATCTATCTATCTATCTATGTCTGTCATTCTATCTATCTATCTATCTATCTATCTATAACGTTCTAACATTCTATCGTTCTATCTTTCTATCATATCGTTCTATCTATTGTTCTATTAATCGTTCTATCTATTGTTCTATTAATCGTTCTATCATTTTGTTCTATCTATCTATCTATCTATCTGTCTGTCTGTCTGTCTATAATGTTCTAACATTCTATCGTTCTATCGTTCTATCGTTCTATCATATCGTTTTTTCAATTGTTCTATTAATCATTCTATCTATCTGTCTGTCTGTCTGTCTGTCTGTCTGTCTTTCTGTCTGTCGTTCTATCTTTCATTCTATCGTTTATTTATTAGTTTGTAAAGTTTTGGACTAGCATTTATTCTGTCTTTCGTTCTGGTTGTCTTTTATCATTGGTTCTTTCATTTTAGTCATGTTTTAGCTATATCCTTTTAAACCTTCAAATTTGACACAAAAAACTTTGATTTAATTTCGTTTAAATATAAAATTGGATTTCAAATCCATCTAAAATCCATCAGATTTGTATCTGTGTTTGATATTAATTCGCAAATAGAGTAACATTTCTCTCATTTGTCCCCTATGATTGTCTTTTCCCAGATTTACCCAGGGTCTGTGGAGCTCATGCAGGTCATTGAAGAGTTCATCCACATCGTCGGGCTGGGAATGAAAGACTTCCACAATGCCTACCTGATGACAGGAAACCTGGGTAAGAGAGCCGCAGAAACCCTCCCACCAGCCACTCGTCTTCCTGACTCTTCCCGTCAGTTCTGTGTATCGTCAGTAATTGAGGATAAATGGTGCATGGAGGGGGGCAAACAACTGCCAGTCGATAATGTTAATTAAAATCAAGCCCTTTCCACTTAATGTGCTAAATTCTAATGCAAACAGCCTCATCTTATTTCAGCTCGGAAAAGAGGACTCCGTGTTTGGGTTCGGTTATATCTATTGCAGCGTGCTTTGATTTTCAGTTTCAAAAACAAAATCTTTTGGCCCCTTACCTGATTGCTTTTTTTATTTCTGTTCATAAAGTAGGGCCGTTAAAAGATAAAGCATGACTCATGCATTTTTCCATAAACCTCCCATGTCACTGAAAGGAATCCAGTGCTAAATGTCGGCTCGCACACGAATACTGATCTCCCTTCCAGTCATTTGAACAAAATCAAAGTTAAATAGCTAAAAAAAAAAATGCTTTTGCTTCTGGTGATGAAGCACATTTGCTTAGTTCTCTTTATTCGAGCGCACAGAACATTGACCCATGAAATTGCAATCTGCATGAATTGCAGAGCTCAACAAATATGAAATGAATGGATTAGGATGACCTTCCTATCCGTCAGCAGATACATAGAAGAGTCTATAATGTTTGGAATTGTGCTTATGCCCAATATCATTAAAAAGGTAATTCCATTGAAGGGCACCTTTGATATCTTTTTTAATGTTAACTTGTTTTATGTAGCTTGCCATAAAACATCGACAGGATTGCGGTGCCATGCCGTTATGTACAATACAATGACATATCCAGAGATTTAAAGCTTGCTTAGATTCTTGCTTAGTATGGACAAAAATCTGAAATAAAATTTCTTATCAAATTATACATTGCATTATCAGATTTTGTATAGTTTTTTGGCACTTTGGTGTCTCATGACTTTTTAAAAAGCAGTTTTAAGTATTGAATTTAATGACCTTGACCTTCTTGGCTGTATCCAAACAGCTCATTTAATATTCATTTGGACCTTCTGAGATTGTTGAAGGTTGAACACCTTTCATTGGCCATTTTAATAAAAGAGTTGCAGGCCCTATTTTGTGTATTAATGGAAGTGTAATTTATATTCATTTACCTGCTGACTGTCACATTTACATAACGAAACCACAAAAAAAAATGTTCGTAGAACAGATGTTTCAAGGTTTTTTCCAGGCAAGAATGAATCTTCATCAAGCCAGTTCAGACATGACCACTACATTTCAGTGTGTAAGATAAAACGCACAGCCAGAACATCAACATCATGATGCAGGAGAGCTATAAACATTTTAATGTCAGCCACGGACAAGGCAAAGTAAAACCTGTGATTGAAACTGCTTCTTGTAGTCTGAAGGTGAAACTGAGTGATGTTGCATCTTCCAGCTGCTGCTACAGTTACAGATGCATAAAGAGGCTTTAGTAAATCACTCAGGCAACCATGAACATTACTGAAGCACATGTCTATTTTAGACATTATGTCTCTGTTGATTTGTAGCCCACTTTTTATTATCTAATTACCAGCCATTTAAATTAAATGAATTGTAAACTAACTTTGAAAGGACTTTATTCAGAAGCATTGGATTTGCTTAGGATGGCATTTAAAATTCCACAGGCAGTCCTGCTTAAACTTATGTTATGACCCAGTAATTTCATTATGCAGCTTCAATATCAACGGTTTTTTTTTTTTTTAATGTAAAAAAGTGCTTTCAGTTCTTTTCAACACAAGACAAAGTATTAGCTACATCAAGGCTCCATTGGATAGATTCAGAGGTGATATTGAGATGGGGAAATGTATTTAAAGGTTATGTAGAACAAAACATTGAATTCAGAATCCAAGTTCAACACATCAGTGCTTTTGTGATGGTGATTGTTTGGAATAATTAAGACTTTTTAAAGTTTTTGTGCATTTTTGTGTTTTTGAAAGAAGTCTCACATCATCTCACAGTTTACTTTTTAATGCATTAAAACAATAATATTGTGAAATATTATTACAATTTAAAAAAAATTACTATTTTATTTGAATATGTTTTAATTTTCAGGAGCCATTATTTCAGCCTTCAATGTCCCTTGATTTTTCAGAAATCATTCTAATATGCTCATTGCTGATATGCATATATTGTATATATATGCATGCATGTATGTATGTATGTATGTATGTATATAGGCCTATATATATATATATATATATATATATGCGTATCATAATGCTGTTTTCTATTCATTCTATTATAGGCAAAATGACAAAAAATATAAAGTAAATCCTTATTTTGACATTTTTTAATTTTTTCAACTTTTTTAATTTCCTTATCAGTGAAATTAAACAACTCTCTTAGCCAGAGTCTGCTCTCTTTGATTAAAAGAACAAAACGGTACTGCTTGTACTAGCCAAGTGAAAATCATCTGTCATAATAAGATATTGCAGCATCATTTCCAGCCAAATTTATAGCACGTTCTCGACACCACAATAAATACCTTCTGTCAACGCAACACACTGTTGCTTCCGCTTTTAGCCAAATAACCTTGATTGCAGAGGCTCCCTTTTCCGCGGCATGTCTGCTCGTAGAATAAACAATGACTTTGTCTTAGTTGCAGCCCTTTAAAGCTAGACATTTTTTTTTTAATGTGTTTAATGGACATTGATTTGTGTGCATTGATTGCTCAGATGAGTTGAGAGACCCTGTTGTCTACTCCAATAAATAGTCTAACCTTCACATTTAGACGAGATTACACTGAAATTTTTGACATGACAGAAATGGCCTGTTATTCCTCGGTAGGATCCAGTCATTAAGCTCATTAGTTACAGGTGGGCGCAGGTGCCGATGCCTCCTGGCTGGGTTCCCTGAGGACCGTTACCCACAGCGGCGTCTCAGCACAGACTTGAGCAGGAAAACAGCTCTGAGCACATCCCAACTAAAGAGATCTCACACACAGAGGGAAACGAACTGAATAAATCACTGTTGCAGGAGATGATTAGAACCTGTGTATATAAGAGGAGACCTTCACTCCACAACACTGTTCTACAACTTTTTTGATGTGCAAACACTTCTGCTTTTTTAAATGTGGCTGTTCATTTTGATTTGAAATGCAATTCTTCTGTACTGCATGCAGTACACTGTATATTACCCAGTTTTTTATCTGCAGAATTCATGCTAATAATATGGTACTTTTCCTAACATTTTCCTTCTCTTCAAAACCAATTTGGATACCTGAGCTTACTTACTTGTGTAGTTAGGGATGCACAATATTAAAATTGTGGCTGATATAAGCCAGTAATTATTTTTCATCATATAGCAGATAAACAATAAATGCTACCATTTTGTTTACATTTATTAAAATACATTAAAAATACTAAAAATTTAAATCAGTCATTTTAAGTGATCCAAGTCAATTTAGGCATCACACTATGATAATGTGCAGTTTTTAATAGTGTTATTAACTTATTAATGTTTTTTTTTTTAAATAGACCCAAGATTATTTACTGATTTACTAAAAAAGGAATAGTTTTTTTTTCACATTTTTTTTTTTAGTTTTGCGTACAGACTCCAATGTTGTCAAAACAATCCCCATTCACACGGATCTACGGAAATGGCTAAAAATGCTGTATTATGCACTTTGAAACCTATTTTCTAAAGTCTGCATTTCAGGCTCCCAAAACGCTGTTGCTGTGTCAATGAATGGCCAAAATGACTGAACATTTTCAGTTTTTAGTTAAAAACAGTGTCATGTAAACGCCTCTTAGATGATCAAATTTAGATGATGACAAATGTATTCTAAATGTAAAAATAGGAGAAATGGGCATGCACAATTCAACATCCAATATAAACTAATACAATAAATGGGGGGGGGGGGGTTGCAACCCTGAACTGAAAAAAATTAAATAAATAAATCAAATCTGTAGAAACAATTTTCACTCAGAAATTGCTAGTAAATGTTACAATTAATTACAACGAAATGGAAAGTAGCACAATGAATTAAAAAATTTAATTTTCTTGTAAAACATACTGCATTAATCCAATAATCAGCTTCAAGCAATAGCATAACATGCAGCAGGTAAATGAAGCAGGATTCCTTCTGTGAGTAGAGAAGCCTGTATGGATGTAAAGATCACTAAAGGGCCTGTGATCTCATGCTGTTTTAGAGCTTAACGTGTGAGCTGCTTCACCCACCGTTCTTCAGTTCTTCCTCGTGTGCTCCTGTGACTAATGCCCTCCTCCAGCTCCCCACACACAGCAGCTGGCAGCACTGCCACTCTCCTCCTCCTCTCACACACACACACACACACACACGCGAGAACCCTGTGCCCGCTGTAGGATGGTCCTCACCTACACCTCAACGCTCATTACCTGACAATTCTCTCTTCTGCTGGAGAGACCAGTCATGCACCAGAGTTTGATTCATTAAAATGGAATTTAAAAGGCAATTTTTTAATTTCAATTAAAAAATCCTGGAATTTTTATTAAGGTTACAAACATGATGTAAAATTGTAATTTGATTTAGAAAATGGGCAATACAGTTAAAATGGAATGCTTTTCATTGAAATTTGTTAACTGTAGTTTTTTTAAATGCAAAATAGAAATGTGCATTTATTTTCCTCTGTTTCTTATTAAATAACATTTCAGTTTATGGACCATCGTAAAGAACACTTCATTTCCCAGAATACTCTGAATTTATTTTGCTGTAATTTATCTTCCAAATGACACCAAACAATATTAGAAAAGTTATGGCAAAATGAAAGAAAAAGAAAAATAAAGTTCTGAAAATGAAAATGACATCGCTGTGCAGTTTGATGTTAATTGTTTTGACTGTTTTGTGCTTGGGTTTAAAAAAAGTCTAATTAGTTGATAAAATATATTCTACATATTATGGAATAAATAGGCATAATTTGTCAAACATTATTGATGTAATTATGTATGTTTTGTCACAAACCTTGTGTTAGACATGAATTTCCTGTCTTGAAAGTGGATGGGGAATAAACTGTCACTTATCTTGTTTTTTCTTGTGCTTTTTTTAGTTGCAAGCATACAGAGGCTGCCTGCGGTATCTGTGATGACAGACATTAACTTTCCCATGAAGGGACGGAAAGGGATGGTGGACTGGGCCAGAAACTCAGAGGACAAAGTTGTCATTCCTAAAGGAATCTTTGTGCCCCAGACAGCAGGTAATGTACTTGATGTTACACTGTTGAAGTTGATGATACTGAACATCTTATGTCTTGTATAATAAGGCTACGTTAAGAAGAAGTAGATTGCCAGTTTTCATTCGGCGCATTTACATTCAACAAAGCAGGCCATCAGCATGAGAATCAAGCTGTCAGTGAACGCCAATAGACAATCTTTTTCCAGAAATAATGCTTTAAGTTATATAATTATCGCAACAAACTGCATGTTTTAGGCTGACACTGGACATATTTTCTTTCCGCTATGGAAATAACATCAATGAATTCAAGAAAAAACGGCATGCTATTTAATAGGGAATAATAATTGGAGTTTGTCACACCATGTTGACATTTTGTTTTGTTCTAACAAGTAATGAATCTTAAACCCTATTTGTTCAAAGAATGTAGGATGAAATAGTAGTTGGTAGACCTGTCTTTTTTGCAGAATAGTGCATACATTGATGTAGCACAAGTGATTATTTAATTACAGTTGGTATTAAAAAATACTGATTGTACACTTAAAGTGAGATTTTTTGTTGCAAGGTAGAATTTCACACTAGATTTTAACACTTAAAACATTAAACATTTGGCAGACGCTTTTATCAAAAGCAACTACATTGTATTCATGGGTTTACATTTTAGGGTTAACCAGCTACAGGAATATTTTTAATTGTATGTGCTAAAGTCTATGTTGGAGACAGACAGTAAAGTTGAAGAATAATTGAAGAATCACCCATATATCTCCTTTTTTATTACGGTTTATATTAGTGCTGTCAAACGATTAATCGCGATTAATCGCATCCAAAATAAACG